GTGTGAAGCAGAAGTATGTGAGTAGGTTATAAGATCTTTTCATTAAAAGTAATGGAATGTACTGTTCAAATTGTTTTCTGATTTTTTAAAAAAGTTATATTTAGATATCACACTTTTTGTCTGTAAACTGAATTTTATTTCATCCAATTTCATGGCCCAGTTTCAAGGCTGATACCCACTTATACTTTTTAAAAATTGTTCATTCTATTACAGTTGTTCCAATGTCTTTTTTCCCCCTTTGTTCCCCCTCCACCCACTCTCCTCTCGCCCACAATCAGTCCCCTCTCATTGTTAGTGTACATGAGCATTGATACGTGTTCTTTGACTAGTTTAATTTTTAAGTGTTATATATCCTGGTTGGTTTTAGATCAGTGATTTCCTTTAATTTTCAAAAAAGAACCCATAGACTTATGCTCTTTCTGTCCCTGAGCTCAATGAGCACAGAGCTGGACTGGAGTGATTGCATTGAATGGAGATGGGAAGGCTGGTTTCTTAAAATGCCTACTGTGTACAAGGCACCACACTGGATGCTTTATGTGTCTGTTTTAACTTAATCATCACAGCAAATAAGGGATGTTGGCTGATACCAAAAAAAAACCCCAAAAACCGTTTGCATTCCTTTGAAATGATTTTTAAAATATAAATGTAAATTAGACACTTTCTAAAAAATAATTGTAAGTTAGAAACACTAAAAGGTACTTGTAAAATAAGGTAGTTTTCTATTATGTGTGGTAAATTCAAAGTCTTTAGCAGATATTTTTAAGCACTATTGGTCTTGACTAAAATAATAAAAATGATATATTTTTGATCTTTGAAAATGGTGAGTTTTCTCAGCAAGCTTACCCTAGGAAATCTTGTGAAGTAAGCAGATCTTAATTGTACCTTTTGATTATGGAGAATCAAGATTTTCTTTGAATAAAATTAGTGTACTCTTTTGGCAATCAAAGCAACTATATGGCAGTTAAAATGTATTTACATGTAAAAGACTTCAGAATTTCAGATTTCATAATCTAGAATTGATTACTTTCCCCTTTGCTTTCCTAGTAGGTGCAAATGGAGGGACCTAAAAGCTATTTCAGTAATACTGCCATCCAGCTACTCTCTTTTTTCCATCTTTACTCTGATTACTTTCTTAATTAATGAGGCTCAAAAGGGAAACTTGTTAGCATGTCTTTAATTTAGCTGTAGTGTTAGCCCTAAATGAAATAATTGTACCTTTAAAAATTTCTTAAGTCATCTAACTTTAGCCTTGAGATTCAAGGTTGGAAAAAAAACAATGTATTTGCTCAGTCTAACACCAGTGGTAAAAAAAGGTTAAGGTGAGGAAATGATGAGCATTTTCTGAATATTGCGTACTTCATCCCTCTCTGTCTTTGTACACGTTGTTCTCTCTGCCCTGAATCTCTCTTTCTTTTGACTTAGAAGCTGGCAGAGGCCTATGACTTCTGTTTTCTCTCTTTAAATGGTACCTTCTCCTTTCTGTGATTGTGGATGGTATTTCCATGGTGAACAGAAAAAATGGGGAAGCCTGGGGTTGTAGCCCCGGGCAATGCTAACATTTCGCAATGTCAACAGGAGACAAGCTATAAATGTAACTATTTTTTTGTCTGGATTTTAAAGAATAATTTGTAGTGAGCATTAGTCAAGGACCCTCAGTTGAGAGTGCTTCATGTAGTAATGACTAGTAGTCATTTATTTTATTGGAAAAGGCCACTTATTGTTACTTTCAGAAAATCAGGATTCTGTAGAGATATTTTCTAGCAAAGAAAATATCTTCCTTTCTAGATGAGAAAGGAAGTCAAGAGAACGGTGACTAAAAACTTAGGACAAAGGGCTGGTGGAGTAGACAGATGGCTCCTTACGGTCTCTGTTCAGGGCATGGGTGCTGAGGCATTAGGTGCAAATGTTAATGTTTACCAGCTTCTAAGGTCTCCAAAGATTACTTTGTTTGAATCAATTTTGTAGTTTTTGCAGAATTCAAAATTAAAGCTAGTCACTTATTTATTGTTCAGTGCAAGGTAGAAATATAGTTAGTTGCTCACCACTCCAGAGCAAGAAGGGGAAGTTGAGGCCCTGTCTGCTGGTTGATTTTCATCATTGGTTTGCATCACAATTTGTCAGGGAGAACAGGATTTACAAAGCCAGTGATTTGTGGGGTTTTGGAGCAATTGGTTTATCTGAGGGTTTTTTTGTACCCCCCACCTCCCCCTGCAGACCCTTTTGATTAAGACTGGGGGCTTTCTTGACAACATGGGCGGACCTGCAGGGCATTATGCTAAATGAAATAATATGTCCTCTTCTATATGTGTAATCTTAAAAAAACAAAACAATCTCATGGATATAGATTGGTGATTGCCAGAGGTGGAAGGTGGGGGTGAGATGGGGTTTGAGAAACTGGTGAAGGGGGTGTAAATTAATTTTTTAAAAAGAAGAACCAAGGCTATTTCTCTGATTACAATGGCGGGTGGATGTTCCTTCCCAGACATTTAAAATGGTAGATGCGAATCCTTTGTGCATCCTAAGCATTTGAGATATATGGGGGGGGGGGGGGGGGGGGGGGGTAAATGGAACTGAATCCAGTCATTTAAAGAGAACCTTAAAATTTTCTCTTACATACTCTTTATTTTTTGTTACAAAGTAATTTTTTTTAACAGAAGGCACTGGTTTAGGTTTCTGGGACTTTTAGGTTTTAGAGCTCTTGCACCCTGAGAGCTATTAAAGGAAGAAGAACTGATGATACCTGTGGATCCCCTTTGGTATACAGGTCCACAAGTGGGGCCATCGTCCTCATGTCACCTGGTTTAGTCCTTACCACATCTCTGCTGAGTTTTTTCTCCTACAAACAGGTCTTATTCCTCAGAATAGTGCCCTGGCCCAGTTACTCATAGATATTGCAAGATCTTCTTGGTAAGAGCTTGTATATTCCTCCTCCTTCATGTTGCTCTTCAATGTATCTCTTTGCCTTTTTTTTTTTTCAGTTTGATTTTACTTATTTTGTTTTTTAAACTTATCTCCTTGTGACATCTATAACATTGCTTCATTTGGGATAGTGCCAGTGTCATATCTTAAGGAGTACAAGAACTTCTCTCTAATTTTAAGATTGGTGAAAGACAATGAATGTCAGTAACAGAAGAATCTTTTGATTCCAAGGTTTGTGTTGAACACAAATCGATTCTATGTGCAGGTTTTAGTGCCCAAGAATCCCACATTCAGGGGGAAAATGGTTGAAGTGGACACTTGTTAATCAAAAAGCATTTTATGAAAGGACAGCCAGTATCAGATGCCAAAGTATACATACCACCCATCAGCAACCCATTAGCAAAGGGAGAAATTTCAGGTTTAGCAGAGGTGTTCCTGGGTTTTCTGGAATGATAACTTCCCCTACATACTTTGTAAACAAATCTGGAAAAGCCAAAGCCTCTGAAGCAAAATATTGTCTTTAAAAATTGTTTTCCTCAGTAAATGCATTTTCTTAATTGAGAAAAAATGTTTTTCCTGTGAAATCAACATTTCTTAAATGCGTTGTTTTTCTATTTAAGTATCTCACTTGGATTTCCCTGTGTCTCTCAGGTCTAAGTTTTTGAGATACATCTTGGCTTTCCATATTTTAAATCCTTCTGAAAATAACCTGATGTTTTTCTTTTACTGTTTCTTTTTCTCATTTTTCTCTCAGTCGTCTGTTCCACGTTTTCTCTTTCTTATACTTAGTTATGCATATTCAAGTCAACAGATATTTATTTGGTATATGTTGTACGTCAGGCCTCATGTCGCTTACCACCGGGGACACTGTAATGAGGAAGGCAGGCACGTGCCCTGTTTTCATGTTGCTTTTACAGTCTCAGCGAGACTCCATCAAGTTCAAGAATGAGGAGTGGAACAGTAAGTGCTGATTTGGAATTTAGTAAAGAATGACATATTTTATGGTCTTTGGCTTTTGTTAAGAATTAACAAGATTAAAAAAGAACATTGTAATCTCTTTAATATTTAATCACAATATTCATATACTGAACATTTGGTGTCATCAGAATGATGCTAATGACCTGTGTATTTTTTACCAGATTGGAAGCATCTGTTGGTTGATTTTTACAGGCTGTTGGAAAATAGATTAAAGTATACTAACAGGTTATTGGTGTTGAATTTATCAACTAAAATTAATATTGATTACTTTCATTATTCACAAACTGTTAACTTAATAGGGATTAAAGGGCTTTCTGAAAGTATGTGGATTTTCTAATTCAGTTAGACTGATTTATTATCAAAATGTGATTCCACAATTGTTAGCTTCCTGAAGCAATCACATTTTTATAACAGGTGCATCATATTTGCCGGTTAGGGCCAGTAAACTGGTTTATAAATATTTCTCAACTGAATAGTTTGGCATATGGAAACAGTTAATGGATTATACAGTAAAAAAACAAATCAAGCTGAGATTTCTAACATCATAGATCAGTAGATAAAATATCGGGGTAGAAAGTGATTGAACTATGGATTATCCCAGGGACTTGGCTGTGTTTGGGATGTTGCTTTGCATTAGAAACACAGTTTATTCTTCTGTATGAACAAAAGTGTATAAAAAATACTAGACTACCTCACAAGCCTACATTTAGATGAACAGTATAATTTCTAACAGCTATATTTCTTGGGAATGCATGTTAATAAAGAGATGATGTCAAAATTAATGTAACACATCTTGAACTTCTTCAAGATTTAAAAAAAATTGAGAAATACTAATTTGGAAAGATTTGGGAGGAAGTCAGTGGAGAATTAAATATTTCTCTAGGGATTTCTCATTTGTTTCTTGTCTGTGGCTGAATTTATCATTTGGTTCTATGTGTCTAGATTTTCAAAAGAACTAAAAACTTAAGGAAATTAAGAAGCAGGCCAGGAATCTCTTGATTTACCATTAGAAAGTATCTCATTGTTACTGATTATATTGTACTCTGTTGGATCCCTGAAGGAACAGCAAATGATTCTGAAAGCTTTTAGAGAACTAGAACCTAATCGCTTCTCGGCCTTTTGGCTAAGATCAAGTGTAGAAATAGAACCTAAAGTGAAAGGGTATAGAGTTTTTTTTAGCATGGAGCCACAGACAACTTTCAAATCCACAAAATGCCTCAGTTATGTGCTTAGTTACACTTCATATCTTTGGCATTTGAAGGTCCCTGTGAATAGGTGTATTTCTTATATATTGTACAGATGCTATAAATAGAAAAGGAGGAGGACTGAACTTGTGTTGTGGGGGATGTGCCCATAAACAGCTTTTTCTCACTCCTTTTTTCCCCTCTCCTCTCATTTTCTTCTTCCACTGTAGAGAGGAATGGTATCAGGGCACTAGATTCAACTCAAGCTACTTGACTAGTGTGGGGATGCTACATCCCTTCTGTGCTACCAGTTCACCTCGGTATTTTTTAACTCTGCTAGCACTTTCAGTGGTCTAACTGTACTTAAGTCCCTTAACAAAACTGTAAATCCATTCCATTCCATTGTTACCACACACCTTTTTCTCCCAGGATTTCTCTTCCATTTCCTGTGTCCTCTGTCTTACTCTGTTTACCCGGCACTTCCCTATTGCCCTGTGGTTGCTCAAACTACACTTCCCTAGTGTTTTTCTTGTCTGCATTATGTTCTACCCCTTCAAACTCCCACTCATAATTAGTTCACAGTATGATCCATCTGAAGATGTGCCATATTTTGTCAAGTTTAATGAACACGTTTTTGCCCAAATTTTTGAGAGAAAAATAAGGATGTGCATTATACCTGGGTAGTTCTGATTCCATATCTATGTGAATGTTTTACATTCTTTTACTTATGCTTATACATTAAAAGTGTAACTCTAGAAAGCAATAACAATATCTCACATATGCAAAATAATACCCTGGAATATGACGATCAGTTTTATTTCTAAATATAAATAAAAATTTGAATTAAAAAAATTAAATGAAAGATTTTTTTTTCTTGAAAAGGCCAAAAATGTGGGCACACATTATACCCAGGAGCATATTATACAAGGCAAAATATGGTAAACGAGGCTCATCCTTCTGAATACACTATTTTAATATTAAAATGGTATTTGTAAATCTGTCTCCCTCTCTTCCACTCCTCCCTCCCTGGCCCCTAGGCCCGCCTCCTCACACAATGCTTGTTGTAACTGAAAAAAACTTTATGAAAATAACTTTATTATGTATTTTATAAGTGTTGAATTTTCTAAATTAGATTTTGATGTAATTAGATATTTACACGTTTAGGTGCTGGGTATATTTTGTCCCTGAAGATAAAATCATTTGGGCATATGGTCTTATACGTTGTAAGATACTCTGTGCATTTACCACAAGCTTTCATGTATGTTTCATCGTATCCTAGAAGAGCACCAGGTTAGAGACCTTTGGTTGTCACAGCTCTAACTTACCTAAGGGTGCATCTTTGTTTTAAAAGAATGGCTTTTTCAAGCCAGAGACACACTATTCCAGGAGTTCTTAACTTGAGGTATTAGATAAGAAAAAAACCCAAAACCATCAAAACACAATATTATCACTTTCCCTAACTTCTAATTGAAATTTAACATTTTCTTCAATTATAAATATAGGCAACAAATACAGTGGTACCTTTGCCTCTTCTAGCTGTAAAGTACATATATCATTCATATCACATTAGAATCAGTTCAGATATGTGCATATATCTACATATCATTGAAACTCATCAGTATTTGAAAATCAGAGTACTTATTAGACCTGCAGCTAGATCTTGCTATTTAATACATTAATAAAGAAGGGCATTTTATTGTCCTCCAGGAAGCAGATCCTGAGATGTCAGAGTGCAAGAGGTAATTTTAGGAGGCAGGGGCTAGGTAATGCATATGAAAGGTAGAAGGGGAAAGCAGGACTGGGTAGGAGGAACCTTAGGCCATGGTGAAATTCTCAGCCAGCCCAGCTTGGGGGGAGCTCTGGAGCACAGCCGGGCTGTAGTACCCCTGCCAGCCTGTAGTACTCCTGCCGTGCTCAGTCACTGGCTGGAGGATGCCCCGGAAGAACATTGCCTGGGCTCAAAAGCTAAGGAGGATCCCGAGGGAGCTAATGCAGTTTGTCAACCAAGAGCACTCCATTCAACTGAGTGGAAAGCTCATTCCTGAAGCTAGATTTGAGCAATGCATCTCCTTGGCTGAAATGTATATATGTAGTTAGTTAATAAACTGGTGTTCAGTGCATTTTGAATCTTCATCGTGGTATCATTTGCTTCCTTTGAAATCCAATGTATTTTTTTTTTTTAATCCTCACTTGAGGATGTGTTTTCACTGCTTTTTTAGAGAGGGAGGAAAGAAGAGAGAGAAACAGAGAAGCATTCATGTGAGAGAGTAACATTGATTGATTACCTTCTGGTACTTGCCCTGACTAGGGATCGAACTAGTGACATTTTGGGCTATGGAATGACACACCAACCAACTGAGCCACATTGGCCAGGGCAAATCCTACACATTTTTGCATGTATTTATTGATTTTCTTGATGGTGTCTTTTTTATTGTTTATTCTATTACAGTTGTCCCAATTATTTTTTGCTTTTGACCCCCTCCACCCAGGCCAGCCCTCTAGCCCACAGTCAATCCCCTCTCAGTTGTCCATGTCCATGTGTCATTCATACATGTGCTTCGACTTGTCCCTTCTGCTTTCTTCCACCATTGCCCCCTCAGCACTCCCCTCCTATAGCTGTTATCTCACTTTTCCATGTCTCTGATTCTATTTATCTCATTAATTTATTTTGTTCATTAGATTCCAATTATAAGTGAGGTCATATGGTATTTGTCTTTTGCCAACTGACTTATTTCACTTAGCGTAATAGTCTCCAGTTCTATACATGCTGTCAGGAAAATGTAGGAGCTCCTTCTGTCTTTCTGCTGTGTAGTATTCCATTGTGTAAATATACCACAATATTTAAATCTACTCATTTACTGATGGGCACTTAAGCTGTTTCTAATACTTGGCTATTGTGAATAGTGCTGCTATGAACATAGGGGTGTGTAAGTTCCTTTGAACCACTTTTGAGTGGTTCAGAATTCTTAGGGTATATTCCCAGTAGTGGAATTACTGGGTCAAAAGGCAGTTGCATTTTTAATTTTTGGAGGAAATCTCTTACTGTTTACCACAGTGGCTGTACCAGTCTACATTCCCACCAACAGTGCATTAGGGCTCCTTTTTCTCCACATCCTCGCCAGCACTTGTTGTTTGTTGATATATTAATGATGGCCATTTTGACCAGTGTGAAGTGTTTTTAATTTTCATCTCTCTGATCTAGTGATGTTAAGCATCTTTTCATATATCTCTGGGCCCTCTGTACGTCGTTCTTGGAGACATGTCTGTTCAGGTGCTTTGCCCATTCTTTAATTGGGTTGTTTGTCTTACTGGTGTTGAGTTGTATGAGTTTTTTATATATTTTGGAGATTAAACTCTTGTTTGGTGTATCATTGACATGTATGTTCTCCCACACAGTTGGTCCCCTTTTCATCTTGATGATGGTTTCTTTAGCAGTGCTGAAGCTTTTTAATGTGATATAACCTTGTTTATTTCTTCCTTTATTTTCCTTGCCCTAGGATATATCAGCGAACATATTGCCATGTGGGATGTCTGAAATTTTGCTGTATATGTTTTATGATAGGACTTTTATGGTATCACAACTTACGTTTAAGTCCTTTGTCCATTTTGAGTTTTTTCTGGTGTACAATATAAGTTAGTTGGTGGTGTAGTTTCTTTTTCTTTTTTTTTCCCCTCATGTACCAGTCCATTTCTCCCAGCAACATTTATTGAGAAGACTGTTTTTATTCCATTGTATGCTCATGCCCCTTTGTCAACTATTACTTGACCATAGAGACATGGGTTTATTTCTGGGCTCTCTATTCTGTTCCATTGATCTACGTATCTATTCTTACGCCAGTCCCAGACTGTCCCTATTATAGTGGCCTTGTAGTACAGTGTAATACCAGGTATTGTAATCTCTCCAACTTTGTTCTTCTTTCTCAGGATTGCTGAGGTTATTCGGGGTCTTTTTTTGTTCCATATATATTTTTGGAGTATTTGTTCTAGATGTGTAAAGAATACAGATCTAGAACAAATATTTTTGCATTTAAAAGTTATTCTGAGCCCAGGCTCCTGTGGCTATGTGAATTGACCCCTGGCCTGCACACCAAAGGGTCGCTGGTTCTATTCCCAGCCAACGTGCCTGGGCTGCGGGCCAGGTCCCCAGTGGGGTATATGGGGGAGGCATCCACACACTGATGCTTATTTCCTTCTCTTTCTCCTTCCCTTCCCCTCTCTCTAAAAATAAATAAAGTCTTCTAAAAAATAAAATACAAATTATCCCGAGAAGGGGCCACTTCTCTGACTGCCAATAGGGTCCGTGGCAGTAAAATTATGAACGCTGCTATGGCCTTTCCGATCTGTGTGGTGGTAGGAGTGAGGTGACTAGGGCCTGGGGCCTGCCTGCACTGCTGCCTGTCCACGTGCAGGGGTGGGAGAAGTAGGTGTGTGTGTGTGTGTGTGTGTGTGTGTGTGTGTGGGAAAAGACACTCAGGGTGTGGTCATTACAATAGCTTTAGTAACCGGTTTTGCATATTCACGACTGTAAACCTACTTTTGCCAACCCCATATGTATGTTTTTTATTTTAATTCCAGGGACCAGTACATTATCTGTAATAAGTAAGATATTCCATCCGATGTAGAAAAAACTATGTGGTGGTTTTAACACCAGGCATCTGTTTTTAAATCCACTTAAACAACCTATTGTTATGCATTTGTTACTCAAAACATATGTCAAATCTGGAAAAATATGAAAATTTTAATTAAACAATAATAAAACAGTATTAATAACATTGACTCTTTTTCAGCAGTTATGTTCACTTCATTTATGTAATTTTATTTGCTCCCAAGCCAATCCTGTGAAAGAACCAAGGCAAACACTGTGTCCATTTTGTATTTAGGAGAAGTTCCACTTCTCAAGCGAACCTTGGCTAAAAGGAGCTGCCACTTCGAATGGGATACAGACGTGAGTCTAAAGCTCTTGCTCCTTCTGCTATGCCACACTGCTTCCCTGATTAAAAAATAGGAACAACAAACTATTCTGTTTAATTTAAAGTGCTCCTCTTTGATTTAAAATAATTTTCCTCTCATCTCCTGCCACCTTACCACTGTCCCATAGCAGT